TCAAATTCCCATTAGCTGGCTCCTTAGCCCGGATTCTCAAACATTGTTTTCTGCCAGCTTCCTCGGTACACTATACAGCTGTTCCTTCAGGTCCCCGTTGCTTGCTTGCTTTTATTTCTCCTTCCCTCTTGTGTTTTTCCTAGTTCTCTTACTTGGACTAAGCCTCAGATCCACATCAGATTGGAAACATTTTCCTGAACCCAAGTGGGAATTTATTTTACATTATTATTATTATTATTTCTAAGAATTAAGCTGCATCTTTGATTGCCAGGAGTAGCCTGCACATTTAATCTTCAAATCAAGGGCAGCACCTCCTGGAACAGCACCCTCACTGTGAGCATGTACTGCGCGGTGGTACCAGGGTTTGAGTCTGAGTTCTGCTGTGCTTCTTCTCTCACTGTGGGACTATGCTCTGCTTCAGTTTTCGCATCGGTAAGTGGGGCGTTTTCAAGGGTCCTCAAATCACAGGTTTGTTGGGAGAAGTAGGTTGTGTGTTGATGAGCCAATAGGCAAGCAGTTGGGATGCTATTTGGCATCCCAACATTACTTTCATGATGTCTTCGAATCTGCCATTCTCCCTCCTAACAGACCCACATTACATGAAGTGACAACCCTGCAGGAATGTCTTCTGAAAGCTTTCAGTAGAAATCCTGTTTTCCCTAGAGAAAACTCCCCTACTGCTATTCCCAACTTTGTGCCATCCTGCTGGTGATAGCAGCGGGCTCTAGAGGAGAGCTGAAAAGCTTTCCCTGGTTGGTGGGACTGTGCGATTCACCCCCAGCTGCCACCTTCCCAGGATGACTCAGTAGGTGGGAGGAAAATGGCTGGGGGAGGAGGCTGCAGGTGTAAAGTGGCCTGGTGTGGCCTTGGCTCACCAGTTGGCTTGTTGGACCAACTCATTAGCCGCCACTTCCTTGGAAAGGCTTATGTGACAGGCTTAACAATCTATTTGAATGAAAAATCTTGAAACACTGGGTTACCCTAGGATCAAGCTCAATGAGAGCCCTTCCTCAAACTGGGGTTTTGAAAGGTGGGCTGAACCTTTGGTGAGGAATCATCTTGTGAGAGTGCAACCGGTCATCACAGTAGAGCCAGAGACGGAGGAAGAACCTGAGAGGAAAATAGTGGGACCCAAAAAGAAGCTGCCATTTCCAGAAGCCTATGAGCTTGGTTTAAAAAAATAAAAAGTTCTTCATGCAAATAAGGCCCACCGATGCTTCTCCGGGCCTTCAGTCCAAGGCTTCTGGAACTTAATGATTTTCACATCTAATTCAAAGAGAAATTAGTCATTCGATATTAAGACAAAAGCAGGCAGACTCCTGTCTTGACAAGGAGTTCCTCCCACGGACAAGGAATTATCTCTGGAATAATTAAAATGCTTGCTGAAGTATAAAAAACGTTCCATTAACTGGAGTTGCCTTTGTTGAGCAAGGGCCCTTCCCATCCCCAAACAAATCATGACAACTCTGATCAAGGACAAGGTGATACTGGGGCCTAAAGAGATATGGTGATCAAAGCTCAGATCATCAGTCATTTCTGAGCCAGAGAATAAAAGTCTCCTATTAGAGGATCCGGGTAGTGTCAGCCAGCCCTGCAGGGGTTTAATTTGTAATGGAGCATGGCTGTGGTGCTTTACTCTTCTGGAGTCCCCGACTCTGAAGGGACTGCTCCCTGACAAAGGAAATGAAGCCTACAATAAAAGCATGGTGAAGGATCATCTTCCTGGAATGTCCCCAACTTGCCCATTCGTCATTGGCAATGTTTTCAGAGTCTAGATGTCTTGATTCCCAAAGGACACAGGGCTTGAGTAACACTGTTATTATCTGCCAAAGCATATCAACAACCAGGACCATCAGACTCCTTCATTCCAAGGAAGTGCCCCAATCACCTGATGTGATCTGTGCTGCTCTCTCTATAGTGTGAGTGTGATGTGCCATGACATGACCACCCAGGCCCTGTCATGATGTGTGCCACACACATAGCAAGTTGGCCTTCACCCAAGGGCAGAGTCTTGGCATCCAAGGGTCGCTTCCACATGAAGACCTCATTGTCCTCTGCCTGTGCCCAGTGTATTCATTGTCTATATTTGTTAAATCACATTTTTAAACACCACACAGTCAAGTTTTCTCTAAATATTGGTACACTACTTAAAAATAATATGGACTTAACAAAGGAAAGTTTCCTAACATTTAAACATAGATTTTAAAGGTAAACACTTCTAGGCATTTCTTTGAAATGGTATTTCTAAAAAGTCAGATTATCATTCATGTTTAAAACCCTATAAAGAACAGTCAAAGCAGAGACATAAAGACCACACTTGAAATGAAGCAGGATCTAGGAGAATGCATACTAAGGGTTTAAAGATGTTTACTTCCCATCTACGTTCTTATTCATGCCCTTTTAAAAGTTTTTATTTTCATTTGTGCATTTATTTGAGATTGCCTTCCTAAGTCTTCGGTAATTTTGTAAGAAACAAAGAAACCACTACAGATGAGCTGAGGCCACCAGCTGTGGTGGCTTCTCATTTGGAACATAGAATCAACTGCTCAGCCCAAGGCAATTCTGAGCTTCCAATCATCTGGTTCCACCCACTTTCATAACTAAATTTCTTTTCTTGTGTCAAAGGATCCTTAAATCCCCACCTTTTATAGAGATTTTCATTTTGGAACTTTGGTATCTTTCGTAGGGATGATAAATTTCCAGTTTTGTGTATCTGCCAGTTCCTGACCCATTGTTCTGTCATTTTGATTTATTAAGCTTGTCTGTTAACATTATTAAAAACTTATGTGTCTCCTATTATTATTTTATTCTAATTAGTTGGGCCATTTAGAGGTTTCATCTCCTAGGAGATGTGATTGAACCTGTGTAATTAGCTCTCTTCTTTAGGACAGAGGCCTAATCCATCACCTTGGAATGCAGCGTTGGGCTCTCTGCCCACCTGTTTATTTCCCAGGCCACAGGCACTGGTTGAATTTGCCGAGACTTAGTACAGTACCTGCCTCAGCTGAGACTGGGTCTGATCTTCCCCATGTACACCACGTGTCACATATCCCCCACTGTTGTTGTTCTATTCTAGCAGAACAGAGTCCCCTGACTTCAGTCACTGGTACAGCACCTTTATAACATTTGTCTTACCTGTGTACCACTTATACCATTACTTCTTATTATTTACCTAAGGCTGTTTGTTATCATTGTTGATATGAGATTTGTCTTTAAATAGCTTTAAATCCATTTACTTGTTTTAACCTGGAATCACCTTGAGCCATAACATTTGACCCATCAACCATAATTCATTTAACTGTTTTGTACTTAGAGTCGGCCCTCCGTGTGTATGGGTTCTGTATCCACAGATCCCACCCACTGCAGGTTGAAAACATTCACTAAAAAGTTGCATCTGTACTGAAAATATATAGACTTCTTTTCTGATCATTATTCCCTATACAATATAGTACAACAACTGTTTACATAGCATTTATGTTGAAATAATAGCATGAGTGATCAAGATGACTTAAAGTGTTGGGGAGAATGTGCCTGAGTTATATGCAAATACTATGCCATTTTATATAAGAGACTTGAGCATGCACGGATTTTGATATCTGAGGGGAATTCTGTCCTTAGCCCCTGCAGATACTGAGGGACAGCATCCCATATGAAGATAAAGGCGTAAATGTTGAAGTGACAGTGTTGTCCTACTAACTCAGAGCCCTCTTGTATGCTGCCAGGATATATCATTACTCTGTATATGAGGAAAACTAGCTGCAGACCATGTGCCAAGGACTCTAATTGCTGGAAACATCCAAGAGATGTGCTTGTTTTCAAATAACTTAAAAAAAAAAACTCTCATTCTTAAAAGCACCAATGTAAAAGAGAACCTTTGTGGCTTAACAACCACATACTTTAAGGTAAATAGGGTACAATAAATAAGATTGAAAGACATGCCCTCAGCGCTACTGGCTCCCTATGCTGGTAAAGAGATGAACAACTTTCACCCACCTCCAGCTCTCCTAGGAGCCCTGAGCACTGGAAGATAGGCAGAGGGGTCTTCCAAGTTACACTGGATGATAGGAAATGATGCCAGAGGAAGAGGGTGCGTATGCAGCAACAGTTTGAGGTCAGAGTATTGTAGTAGATGAGCCCCAAGCACAGAGACTTGAGTGGGGAGAACCTGGGTACAGGTGAGAACAACAGCAAGAGCCAGAGGGCTGGGATGGAGGGAGGGAAGGGCATGCATAGGGACATGATCAGATCACTGTGGGGCAGACACTAGCCAGGACACAGTATGGATTTCATCCACCGCAGGGTTTTGAGCAGGAAAATTATCTGAGCTGATCTCACCAGCTACCACTTAGGTAGTGATTATATCAAGAGTGATACCCAGGACTCTATAGTCAGATCGCTCTTTTGGACCCCCAAGTGAGAAGTGATAGAAGCTTTTAACTAGGGAGGCGTCAAGGAAGTGTTGTATTTGGCTTCTGTTTTGTAGAGGACTAGGATTTCATTTCTTTTTTGCAGCTGTTAAGATTAAATACATTGACACTTGTATAAAGTATAGTAATACTTTATAGTATTACTATATTCAAATAGGCATGTTGATATAAATGTGTTAACATATACATAATTTAAAATACATGCATTATAGTTTCCCTTTGGACAAACAAACTCCTCTTTTGCAGATGGAGGTAGAAGAAATATCTTGTGTTTGCTTAAAAACTATTTTAGTGTTTCTTCCTTATTTCTTACAGTGAACTATAAGAAGAGGCATAGTGTAGTCTGCTACTTTGGTAGAAGATATTTAATTGGCAGAATATCAGGGTATGATTTGAAGTGAGAGTCTTCTCAATTATGGATGGCCTGTAAGATACAGGTTTTGACCTGAGCAACCAGGTACCACCTGATGCTATTATAGAGATGGTTAAGAAGGAGCCTGTGGAGCAGGAAGCCCTAAGATGGGAGCTCTGTATGTGTGACCTTGACCCTCTGCTTTCTCTCACTCCCTGCAGTGATCCCCAAGGTCACCAAGCACCTGCTCTCTAACCCTGTGTTCACCTGCATCATCCTGGCTGCCTGCATGGAGATCGCGGTGGTGGCTGGTTTTGCTGCCTTCCTGGGGAAGTACCTGGAGCAGCAGTTTAACCTCACCACTTCTTCTGCCAACCAGCTGCTTGGTGAGTGTGCCCCCAGCCCCATCTCCTCCAGTCCTGTACATAATACTCCAAGAATTCACTGAGACTCCATGAAGAGCCCAGCACTGGGCTAGGCCTGTAGCAGCCCAGTATGCATGTGGTGTCAGCACACAAGGAACTTCCAGGTTCGTTTTCAGTATAATATTTACCTACCAGATGCAATTACTAAGATACCTAATAATGAAGAACAAAAATATAAATGTACATAGGAATCATTGCAAGAGGCCAAGAAGCAGATAGATTGGTATGAACTAGGAAAATATGAGGAAGATCTGATGAAGGAAGAAAGATGAATCTTGAAAGGTTAGCAGGTTTTCATCAGTCATAGAGAACAAGAATATTCTTGGCAGCATGAAACCCACAGTTAACACAAAGAAAGCTTAGAAGGCATGCCTGTACCTATGCCAGACCCATGGCAGACATAACTAACGGATCATAGCACTTCTTCCCAATATCAGACATAGCTTTATCATCTTTTCAGGGCAAACTCCAGGCATTGACTCCCAGTTGTTTGGAGTTGGCTTACTAAGAAAACCAACTTGCCTTTGTAAGATGCAGTATTACTTATGCAGGGTGAGAAATATGATCCCACAGCATGTCTTAACTTGATTTTCATTTTGTGGCAATTTATTCTTTCCTACTTCAAATGACCAGGAAGCTGCAGTAGTTGAATTGATCAGCTTAGATGTCAATTAGTATTGGATGGAACAGAGACACAGAAGATGAGGGTGAGGGAAGAGTCAACCATGCGTTTGTGATGTGGACAGTCCTTGGCATCATTTGTGAAAACTGGAAATAGCAGGGAGGAATCAGATCTGTGGGGAGCATTACATATTTGGTCTTGGAGTCGCTGGGTATGAAACATCGAGGTATGTCTAAGTGGAGGTTCTGTATTTGGTTGGGGGCTCAAGACAGGGATCTGGTTTAGTAACAGAGAATTATAGCAATACAGTAGTATGTATTACATAGTAAAATTTAGTGTGGATGGCAGTTGAGGACATGAGAGTTGGATTTATACAGGGGAAATATGGAGAACTGTAAAAGAAATGGTGAAACCCCAACCTGAAGAATCTGTAGAGAAGTTTAAGGGACAGCATTCAAAAGAAATCCAGAGGGTGTGGATCATGGGAGTTGAGGGAGAAATGATTTCAAAAAAGAAGCAAGATGGAGGCCCAAATAAATGTCTCTGTGGGTGGGCTTTAACAATAAGGACATCTCATAGCCTGTGGCAGAGCTGTGTCCATGATGTGGCAATGGTGGAGCCCATCCTGTAGGGTGGAGAGCAGCCCAGGAGAGGGGATTCAGGGTATTGGAGTAGAGAGCAGAGCGGGTGTGGCTAGGACAGGAGAGAATGCAGCAGGGCTCTTGCAGAAGAGAAAAGGAAACTGGGTAGACATCCCTTGACAAGAACCCTTGTATTCCCCTGCAAGGGCAGAAGAAGGACATGTGACTGAGGTTACTGAGAATGTATCAGTACAGCCAAGCATTGGAGGGGACTCTAGCCCCATGGCTTTTGTTGTCTCTATTAAGTAGGAGTCAACATCTGTTAAGAGGAAAGGAAAGGTAAAGTCCTCTCATCTTCTCCCTTAAAATCTCCTGTCACTTCCTGAAATTGCCATAAACATGCAAAGGTGCTAACCATCGTGAGTCATAAGGGAAATGCACATTAGAACCATAAGGAGATGATTTGACACACCCAGCAGACTGATGGTGCCAAGTGTTGGTGAGGATGCGGAGCAACTGAAATTCTCTTGTCCTGCAGGTGTGAGTGCAAGGTGGCACTGCCACTTTGGAAATCTTTCTGGCGATACCTATTAAAGCTAAACATATGCCTGCACAGTGATCCATCGGTTTTGTTCCTGGGCTTCAGTCCAGCAGGAATGAGTGTTTAGGTCCACTCATTTATATATGCATACAGAACAATGTTCGAGCAGCTTTATGCATAATAACTCTGAACTGGAAACAGCCCAAATGTCTGTCAACAGCAGAATGGGTAAATAAATTATAGACTGTTCATCCAGTGGACTGTTACACAGCATGCGAAAGAAAGACGTTTGATATAGGCATCCATGGAGATGAATCTCAGAGTTGAAAGACGTCAGACACAAAAGGAGAACATATTTCTAGGAATTAAAAAGAGGAATAGTTAATTAAGTTGAAAGAAGCCAAAATAATGGTGACCCTTGCAGGAAACTAACTCGGAAAGGCTGCTGAAAATATCCTCAGTTTGATCTGAGGGGTGGTTATAGAGGGTCTCAGGTACAGAAGTTCATCAGGCTGCTGATAAGCTTTGTGCAATCCATAGGACATAACATGTCTCAATTAAAAAAATAAAATAGACCACAGTGATGTGGCTGGATCACCCTCATCTGCCAGGAATCTGCTAAAGGAACACAACCTTATTTTTCTTCATTTTTACTGATAACTCTACCACGCACTATTTCCTAAGTTTTGCTTCCACTTTAATTTTAGCAAAATGCAGTCAGCCTTTTAATACCTGCCTGACAGAGAGAAGGTAAAATATACCTCTTTATAATTGAAGTTATACCTCCTTTATTATCTCCAAGATCTCTCAGGTTTAGCCCTCCAGCACCCGAAGAGTTTATCTCCTATCTACTGATTTCTTTGCTGCTATTCCTTGTGTTTTGATTACACTTGCACAGTTGCTTCGACTTTGGGAATGTATCCTATTTTAGAACAGATGCCTAAGTTTTCTATCGACAAACGAATCGATAGACTTCAGGGCAGAAGGTCAAAAAAACAATTTCACCTCCTTGCACCTGTTTGTCTCCCAGTGATTCTGCCGGTTAGAGCATTTTTTTTTGCGGGGGCACTTCTCCTGCACCCAGCAATCAGGCAACCAGCACACAGGCCCTCTCCCTGTACCCTGCCCCTGGCATCACTCCAGCTCTGGCATTGCTAGGAGGGCCAGCTGCAGGAGGAGCTGGCAGGAGGCACTTAGGGAGGCTCATTTAGGGAAATGCTCTATAGGCAGCTCCTGCAAACCTGGAAGATGGGGCCCATGCATTTATCCCAACATATTAAAGGCAGGGCTCTGGGCCACCCACAAAGTCATCCTCAAGGAGGGGCAGAGTTCAGAGAAGAGAAGCATGTATGATTGAGGGACTGATGGCATTTATTTATGAGTGAAGATAAAAAGGGCTTAATCTGCATAAGTTAACGTAATGAGGATGGAGTTTTGGTCGGGGAAGTTCTGCTAGCTGCCTGGAGTGTTAAAGGCATGCGCACGCATCAGAGAGGGAGAGGGGAGGCTGATGATGGCTTGGAGAAAAGGTGCTGGAAGCAGGTTGCCATGGTTACCATCATCACCAGGTGACACTCCCATGGTCTCTGCTAGAGAAATGAGACAAAACCTAGGCCACTCTCTGGGCCTGGGCACATTGTCACTGATGCTCCTCACACAGATCCAAGCTTCTTACTAACTCACACATTCTGACAATGATACTTGAGTGTCCATCCTTGTGGGGCACTGTGTTAAGACACTTGGGATCCAGGTGAGACTGGGCAGAACGAAAAATGTTCTAGATCTCCAAAAAGACCTAATTCTTTTTTTTTTTTAAATATTTATTCTTTAGGTGTAGTTAGACCTTTATTTTATTTACTTAGTTTTATGTGGTGCTGAGAATTGAACCCAAGGCCTCGCATTTGCCAGGCGAGTGCTCTACCACTGAGCTACAACCCCAGCCCCAGAGACCTAATTCTGATAGATAAGAAGAAATAAGAAAACCAAAAATATATGAAACAACTTTAGACAGCAGGGAGAAGGATAAAAACTGTAAATAGAATTGGGTGGAAATAAAGTATCCCATGGTCAGGAGCAGGGTCCAATCTAGAGAAGGTGATCTAAGCAAGCTGTTCTGAAGAGGACAGGTCCAGCTGAGGAAAGACACAGACAAGAGTGTCCAAGGAGGGGGAAATGCAAGTACAAAGACTGGGAGACCTGAGCTCTTCAGCTCTTTCCAGGGAGAGAATGGAGGGAGAGTGGGCGTGATTGGGACTGGGATAGAGGCACACCGGACCACACCTCAGGAAGATCATTTCTATATTAAGGGAGGGATACCAAGCACTGAGATGCCAAAAGCAGCAGATGACGGAGAGATATATGCTTGTTTTAAGTATGGCTTGTGCTATTTTCTTGCCGAGCTAAGCCTCTCTGATTATATTTTCTTACCCTAATATTAAAATTAATTTGCATTCCCTTAGCACATACCAGCTGGTTGATGTAGTCGAGTGACCTAGAGGTCTGCTGATTGGCAAGGAGGAGGCAGCTTGAACTGGAAAATTGGCCGTGCATAATCTACGCGGTGGATAAATGACACATAGTAATTTAAAGCTGAACTGTAGATGAAATGAATCAGAACAGAGCAGAACCAAACAGGAGATTGGAACTCTGGATCCTTTGGTCCTCCTAAAATTCCATGGATCCCTGAGAATCAGAAAAAAACAGGCTTAGTAGGTCCTGTGCCTTTGCAGATAACTTAGTGTATAAGAGAGAGGAAAGGAAAAAAAAAATATTCACCAATTACTCACCAAGAGCTACAAGACATATTGATTTGATTGATGCCACTTTCTGAAGAGTTGCAGAGCTGGTTAAAAGACTGTCTGCAGACTGATGAGTTCTGTGACCTTTGGGTCATGAAGCCTCTGCACCCTCATGCAGCCCTCCCTCATCACCTGATTTGAAGAGGAAGAGAAGATCTCCTAATCATCCTAAATCCACTTTGCACATCAACACACAGAGAGAGCATCACTGCTCCTTAGTATTTATTGTGTTGAAATGCACATCTGTGTTCCCCAATCTGTCTGACTTGTCTCTTGGTTGTCCCCATAGTAGCTAGCGTGTGATTCCCATGATGGTGCCCACTTGGCATGACAGGTATGTTCAGACTCATGATAACTGAGTTTTCCATGTCCATCTCCCTCTTTTTCCATGAACTCTCTGGGTAGAAATGTGCCCCTTCATAAAGATTTGGGATACTACCAAGGCAGCGAAAAAACAGTCTGGTCACAGGTGATTTGCAGGGCTCAGCCTTGGACCTGCTGTTCATCCTCTGTATGGACTGGCCCGTCCTTCCCAGTTCATCATGGTCCCCGCCACTCTGTGTTCTTTCAGGGATGACTGCTATTCCGTGCGCCTGTCTGGGAATCTTCCTGGGTGGTCTCCTGGTGAAGAAGCTCAGCCTGTCCGCCCTGGGGGCTATTCGGATGGCCATGCTTGTCAACCTGGTGTCCACGGCTTGCTATGTCTCCTTCCTCTTCCTGGGCTGTGACACGGGCCCTGTGGCTGGGGTTACTGTTCCCTATGGAAACAAGTGAGTACAAGAAATGTTGGTTCCACCCTGCCTGCTGCAGACCCAGGACTCTCTTTCCGCCATAATTCAATGGAGTCAGCTTGGTCCCTAGTGACCATGAGCAGAGAAAATAAGGACACCTCTGCATCTTACTTCCCAGATAAAGAATCACTATGTCCCCCTGGGTTGCGCGGGCAGACTGTTCCACCAATAGCCAGGGGAGCCCCAGGAAGAAAAGCAGTCATTCACTCTACAGAGTACTCAATTATTTCTGGCATTTGACTTTTAAGAATGTGAAGATAGAAAATATAAAATACATTTTATTTCAAAATTGAACTGAAAATGAAAGATAGAATTGATTTCAATAATTCCTTAAACTATCAGGAGCTATCATTAGGCTGTAATTATAGTAATTACAGGGTCTGGCCCCTGGTAGGTATTTATAAATATCAGAGAGAGGCAGGAAAGAGAGAGAGAAAGAGAATGGGCAGGAAGTTAGCTAGTTCTTATGGGGCCACTTTTCTTATAGCCTAGTTATTATCCCTGGCTTTGGACCAGAGTCCCATCAGGATCACCCTTTGAGGGAATGATGAACAGTTCTTATTTAAATATTTGGTATCAACATCTGTCCCCTTCCTACATGGGACTCTGAGGCTGCCTTGGGGCCCCAGCCTAGAGCACTGATGCTGCAGCCTGGCTGGCCGACAGGTCTTGGTGCCTCTCTCTCCACAGCCAGACTCCTCTCCCAGGCAAGCAACCAGGCCTGTTCCTGTAGTTAAACCAGAAGATGCAGTAGAGCAGGGCTTATCTTGAACCCCAAAAGGGTGAGGAAGAGAAATGGGAGGACAGAGCAGAGGTAGCTAGCCATAGATAATTGCAGAGTCTAGGCACCATGCTTCCCCTCCGCCCCTTTGCCATCACCACCAGGTGGCCTCGTCCAACCCCTCTGCAGCCCTCAGCTCCTTCCTGTACAAAAATGTACCTTCTGGTTTGCACTTGCTATGAGTAACAGCCCTTTCTGTGGATAGCTCAATGTGCAAGTAGATTTCGGTGATTACAAGCACCAGGTCTTATTCTAATGACATTATCCTTGTGTTTAAAAAAAAAAAAAAAGTGAAAACTTGTGGTCACACTGCCTCAGTCCCAATCCCTCCTTTCCCATTTATGTACGTTTCATCAAATGACTTAACCTGGCTGTGCCTCAGTTTCCTTCTCTCTAAAGCCTGTGGGAGTTACACTGAGAATAAGTGAAATCATACATGGGACACCTTCAGCAGAGCATGACAAAAAAACTGAAATAACACCATCATCACCTTCAGTGTTCTGATGTGCTCTGAGCCTCGGGATAGAACTGAAAATAATGGGGCCAAGGAAAGACACTTCCTGTCTTAAGGGGCTGAAAAGAAGCAACCCGTTCTCCCTTTTTTCTCTTTCTTCAGAGTGCTTGCTCTGGATAACTGTGCCATTAATGAAACAAAGGAAAATTAAAATATCTTAGTGTTATTTTCCCTGGGATATTCTGTCCAGCAGACAGACAGTAATATTTGAAGCCAGTCCAGTTGTAGCAGTATTGGTGGAGACTTCCTGTCTGCTGGGGAGGAACAAATCAGAGATGAGGACCAACCCAAAGGGCTAAAAGAAGTTAAATGTCTAGCTGTGCAGACATCATTATTGTTCTGGGAAGTGGGTGAGCTGAGGCTGCTGCAATCAGGAGAGGTATTGTGGATGGTGTGGCCCTGAGCTGAGCCCCGGCTGCCACCAGCCCATGGACACATGTGATGGGAATGATTTTCTCCTCCTGGCTTCCTGAGAGGAGCTGGAGCTGGACTCTGCTGCCCACCCAGCCAGATGCCCATCCTGCACCCTGAACTGAAAATAATGGGGCCCTCAACAGTGGTTCTGGACTGGTCCTTGCAGGACAAGAAGGGCTAGATGGGAAGAAGAGGAGGATGCAGATGCCAGGGGAAATTTCCATAAGCAAGAGTGAATCACCACAGCCATGGGCAGACCCTGTCAGTGGGGGCATCCCGTCACAAATCGACCTGTTGTGAATGGGTGCCATTTGTCCTGTCTCTTGCAGCTCAGCTCGTGGCTCTGCCCTGGACCCCTATTCACCCTGCAATAAGAACTGCGAATGCCAAACCGACTCCTTCACTCCAGTGTGTGGGGCAGACGGCGTCACCTACCTGTCGGCCTGCTTTGCGGGCTGCAACAGCACGGTAAGGGAGAGCTCCTGATGGAGGGAAGAGGGCAGGGGCTCAGACAGCCAGAGGAGCTTCCTATCTGAGATCAGGAACGGGAGCAGCCACTCCAGGTGTTCCGCATCTGCTGTTCTCCTTTACTGTGGCTTTTTCTGAGCCTCTGCCCTGCTGCAGTGAAGGATCCTCCATCAGAAGGATGAGAGGAGAAACCAGCTCTCAGACCTTCTTGCTAACTCAAGTGGGTTTCCAAGAAGCTTCACGGAGCACCTGAGAGTAAAACTTCAAAGCAAGCCATACATTTCAAAGCCAGAAGAAAAGACTGTGGCTTGCGGCCCTGGCAAAGGGAGTCAGTGAAATAGGCTGTCTGCAGATGTAGTGAGCTCTCCATCGCCAGAAGTATGTAAAGAAAGACCCGAAAAACATTTGTCAGGGAAAACCTCTTCCAGACCTGACCTCTTCTCCACTTAAGTTTCTTTTGTCTTTTTCTTCCCAATTAGATGTTTCCTACCTTTTCTATCTTCCCACCACTGTTTTTCTTTTTCCTTCTCAGTATGAATCTAACAGTTGGCTGTCAGCCTGAAGAATTCCACATTCATTGCACTAAAACACAATATGCTATGTGACTGGCCACACAGTCGGGTTGATCCCATCTTCCAGATGTCTCTGGCCCCACCCTTCTGTACCCACATGCTGTCCGGGTGCAGGCCCTTCACATGTCTTGCTTGGACCATGTGGACTCCCAGGATGGCCCCCTCTGCTCTGTCTTATACACTGTGGCTGAAAGGATCTTTCTCAGTCTGCGGATGAGTTTTCAAAGTGCTCTGTTCTATCAGGGCTGGGCACTGAGCCTGGTTCTTATGTGTCTCCCCCAAGGGATTCTGCACTTCCCTTCTGTTTGTGATACTCAGCTTTCTCCATACAACGTTTTTTGTACTTCTCTCTCTAGTTGGACAACTCCTACTTGCCCCTCAATACCCTGTTCAAATCCCCCTTTTCTCTTTGGAGTTCTCATCTTGTGGCACCTGTTCTTTCCTGGAGGCTCTTCTGCAGCCATACACTAGAAATGCCATTGTCTTTGATCTTTAGGTTCCTTGAGAAGTGCCATCATCACCCAGGTGTGCACTGGAAATGCCTATACAATGCACAGGTGGTGAGGAAAACACGAAGGCCAAGTGGCTGCTTTTGCAGAACTCAGAGCTGAAATCACTCCTTCCCTCCCCTTCCCACATCCTGTGTCTTCCAAGAGCAGCAATCTCTCTGAAAGAAGAAAAATGGATCATTTATTTTCATTTTCAAAGATTCCGTTTCTTCCTTGCTTTTAACATTTAGATTCCTGGCCAGCTATTAACATTTTCTATAGAGAAAATAAATCACCATGGGGTGGGGGCTGCGGGGGGCGGGGGAGGAACTGATTTTTAAATTAGATGACAAAGCATTTTCTTTATATGACTGGAAATAAGTATTAAAAAAGGATCAGGGCCTTGAGAATGGTTAAAGTAAAAACACAAGCTATTATTTTTCATAGCAACAATTTCATTAACATTTTAATATCCAAAGAGTTCTATTATAAATCAGCATCAGTTATTGTCCTTTTTAAAGAATTCAATCGACTCAGTGTAGCCTGAGACCAAACAAGTCTTTATTTCAGGGACCGCACTCACCAAAAATTGTCTTAAAAGTTGTGTTTTCCCTGATCTTGCATGGACGAGAGGATTATTGAGTAAAAGCCTCACCGGGACCATGGCTGCTTCCAGCTGCTGAAACAGCAGAGCTGTGGAATGCAATTAGGAGATGGCAGGCTCCTCTGCTCACCTCTGGACATGTCATTTATTCCCCAGACACTTGCCTTTCATTCACGTCATTGGAGGCCTCCCACTGTCTGCTGTGCAAGGCAGGGAGCTGGTTTCTAGGTAATTGCAAGGTGAGGAAAACACCAGGTCCCCGGGCTGGGGTGGCAGTCAGGGTACCCTTCCCCTCCTCATGGAGACACATCTCTACATGCCCTGGCTTCCAACGGGTGGATGAGGGATTTGGGGGACACAGAGCCATGCTTCTCCTGGAAAGGGGCCCTTGCCATAGTCTTGCCTTAAAAATAATCACAATCATAAAACTTTCCATAGTGGCTGGCTTCATCGGCAGACTGTTCTGGGCCAGGCAACAGGGCCTTTCATGTGTCACTCATGGCCCATGGCAGCTTGGCCCAGAGTCAAAGGAATCTCAGGATGACATCCAAAAATGAGCAAAAAGCAATTTGAATCTTTTAAATCTCAGCTGCAGTATTTTGAAAAAATGCCAAAAGTGGTAGATTATATTCCTGGTACATTAGCTCCCGTCTTCTCCCCCTCCCTCCCCTCCTTTTTCTTTCTTGGTTTCTGAGCTCTTAAGGAGACTCCTCTGCAAGAGAAAGGCTTCCTGGTCTCCTGTACCCCTTGGGCCTTTCCACACTGATTCTTTCACTGTCCCCTAGGAGGTCTCCACTTTTCCTGGGGTGGACCCAGCCACACTCCCCTGGATTTCATCAGTCCTTGTCCCCAGCCCTCCATCCTGTCTATGTGATTTCATTCATTCCCACCTTGGGAAGTCTGACTCCTTTTTAGTTCCTTCCTATATATGAGACCAGTCACTCACCAAGGTCACACACTAGAAAGTGGTAGAACACAGGCCTCTCCAGTGCCACACCTCGTATCTTCCTCTGAATTCTGCGACTCCCCCCTTTTGGGATCCTCTTCTTTTTTCTCCCTTAAAACAACCTCTTCATACATGCTATCCACAATCAGGGCAGTTAGCCTCCACCTGGCCCTGGCTACTCTTTCAGGCTTAACCTCCCTTCTGCCTTTTAAAGAAGCACTTGCTAAGTGGAACTGCTTCAAGCCCCCCCACAACACACCTCGCTCTCCCTTGCCCCCAGGATCTTTGCATGTGCTATTCCTTACACCCACAGGAATCCTCCCTGTCTAGGCCCTGTTTTATTCACTGGGGCTTGCCCTCTTCCAGTGCTGCCAGGAAGCCTGCTACCTCATCACCTTTTCCATGTCTGTTGCTGCTCTTCCTGTTGACTGCCCCCATACCTGTTCTCACCTTGCAAGGCTCCTACCCCACCTGTCCTAAAGGCTGATTTGCTGCAATGTATCCCTCACTAAGCTCCAAGAATGGGGACTCTGTTGTGGACCCTTGTATTCCTAGTACCAGCAGCACTCTGGACTAAGGTCCCAGACTTCCTAATTGTCCAGCTAGAGCCCATGCTGACCTGAGAGAGGTGACAGGTGACAATAACACTATACATAACCTGCAGGCAGGTGGATTGGGTGGTACCAGTGTCCAGACTAACAGTGTTATCCTCTCTCATTTCTTCCCACTTTATAGCTTCCATCAAGACTTGTTAAGAATTTCCCGTAACTAGAATAGATGTGAATAGGTCAATCAGATAATTCTGATTGTCAGGAAATCTGGTCGGCATTAGCATTTTCTTTATATTAGTTTTTCCTTCCTACCTTGGTTCAGATTTTGTTGTTGTTGTTGTTGTTGGTTTTAATTTTCTTCTTTCATATCTTCTCGAGTGATAGCAATGAAAGTTTCCAGGACCACATTTAATATACGATTTCTAATTCTGCTCATTGCATATGACCAGGAGGGGTGACAAAAAGATTGCAAGTTAATTTTGCAAGCTTCCTTTGGCATGAATATATTGTCCAGATTGTTTCCATACCTTTCACTTTCAGAGGTAATTATTCCAACAGAAAGCGTGTTAGTTCGCTGCTGACTGACTGCTGGGAGTTGTATCCTTTTGATGTACTGAATAATTGACTTAAAAAAAAAAAAGCTTATATCAGCCACCAATAGAATGTGGAAAGTCAATAGGAGTCTAGCACAGCAGTTTGTAGGGTACTAATGATAGATGACTAATCCATCCCCAGCCAGGCAACAAATATTTATTGAGAGCTTGTTTTAGCAAAGTGCCAAGTAGGTCCTGTGCAGGGAGGAGGATGACTCCATTCTGCCAGAACACAGGGGACTCGACATTCTATATTGCAGGTGTCAGTCCTGGCTACGTGTTAGATTCTTATGGGAGCTTTTAAAATGGGAGGCTCTGCTCAGAGATTCTGCTTTCCTTGTATTGGAGTGAGACCCAGGCATCAGTACTTTTTTCAAGCCCTCCTCAGTATTTTAGACTTGTAACCCAGCTTGGAAACCACTGTTCTAATCCACAGTTGCTCAACCTTGGTATTATTGACATTTGGGGCCTGATCATTCTTTGCCATGGGAGGCTGCCCTATGCACTATAGGATCTTCGGCAGCGTCCCTGAACTCTACCTTCCAGATGCTCCCCCGAAGACTTCCAAGTTCTTCTAACAATCACAGATGTCTCAAGATATTGCTGGGTGTCTCTGAGGGGCATAATCACCCCCACTTTAAGTTACTGCTCTAAAAGTAGGAATGAGACAAGTTCTAAAATTCTTATCTTTCTAGAAACAGGTGGAGCCCTGAGCTACCCCTGAATAATCATCCTTCAGTCTCCTTTTCCTTCTCATTATATTAGCCTACTACAGAACCCAGTCTAGAGAGTCAGCCATGCCCACCTGTCGCAGCACAAGGGGCATGTACCTCATATCTGCCCTAAAGATCTGTGGTTCTGGACTTCTGGCGCCTCTGAGAAAGTTGGAAGATAGCAATGGGTCCTTTGCCCACATAGGGCATTGGTTGGAGGAGCTGAGAAGTGACTGGTCCCTTGGGCAAGACATGTGCTGTACACTTAGCTGCAGTCTGCATCACCAGCTGCCCCTACCTCCCAACCACTTTTCTTATTTATAATGTTTCCAGTCTAGCCCCAAAGGCTTAGGGCTTATGAAACCCTCTCACACAGCCTGGCCCCACATGCCCAGAACTGATTTAAGTGTGTGCAACATTTCAGAAGGGCTTTGTGAATACTCTGAAATCACACCCTTCCAGGACACCTGATGCACTGCAGGCCCTGTCTGGGAAGCATAGCTGTAGAGGTGAATAAGATAAGGAGCCCATGT